TCTCCAGGACAAACCTGTTTGTTCTCCTAGCATTCCATGGTATATTCAACACTCTTCTCCAGCACCACAGCTCAAAGGCATCAATTCTCTTTCTATCATCCCTATTCACTGTCCAACTCTCCGATGCACAGCACGTAATTGCAAAGACTATAGCCTGGATCAGGCACACTGTAGTCTCCATCCTGACGTCGTTGCACTTCAGTACTCTTGAGAGGTCCCTCACAGCTGACTTTCCCGAGATAATTCACCTATATGCACTTCTGTGAAACAAGTTCATCACGGTCATCATTCCCAAAACTCGTGTGGCAAGTACCAACCCCACAAAGTGAGACAGTCCAAGAAGGGCAAAGACTCTATTTGGCCAGGGAAAGCAGCATTATGATGGGAAGCACAGTGGCTACACTGGGCAGACCAAGCCAATATTCCAAAACAAAGACTACAAATACTGTATTAAGACTTGCACGTGTTGAGCCAAACTGCAGATCTAAAAGAATGTTGGCTATCAAAAGATGTGAGCTTTGCACTGTGAGGAGGGACATAAGAAGAGAAAGGGTCAAGTGATCCAGTTTAAAGCCTCATTTTTTTAAAGACAATACACTCTTGAGGTTTTCATATTCAAACAAACAAACAAACAAAAATGTTTCTTCAATTTTCCTTCCTTTCATTTATCCTTTCCTCTCTCCCTTCTTCCTTTCCTCCTTTCTTCCTTCATTTCTTCCTCCTGTTCTCCCTTCTTGGTTTTCCTCTCTTTTCCAATTCTGAACCAGCAGAGGAAGTATTTCATTGCAGCCCCTCAGCATGTGAGCATAAGAGGCGGGCCCAGGGGCGGTACTCACTGAGAGAGAAGTGAGGCCAGACACCCATACAGGGAGGACGTGTACATGTTCCCATTGCGCGTGGACAGGTACAGGGAGGCTTTGGTTTTCTTGTTGAACATGTCCAGCGAGGCCTTTTGGAACGCTGAATCCACGTCCCTGTTGGTGTAAGTATCTTCCAGCTTTAGGCCCCTGTGAAGCAGATGAGAGACCAGAGCGGGTGAGGAAGAGAGCAAGGGGGGATGGAACAGATTCCAGAGCAAAGACTCTGGGGCCCATCGTTTTATGACATTTTAAAACACCTCATTGCCTTTGAGTCAGAACCAACTCAAAACTGACCCTCAAGTGGGTTTTCAGAGGCTGTAAATTGCACGGGAGGAGACTGACTGTCTTTCTCCTCACGGGAGCCACTTGTGGATCCAAATCACCAGAGTGGGGTTCCCTTTGGATTAGCAGTGCAGCCCCTATAGACCTTGACACCAGAGCTCTCTCGTTTTTATTACATTGTTATTTTAGGTGCTGTCACACAGATCTGAACCTTGTCCCATCCTGTGCTTATAAAATATTATAAATATTTCATCGTAGAATGTTTTAGGATAAACATTATGGGGAGACACAAAGAAAAAAATGTCCCCAATAGTTCTACCATTCAGAGATAGCATTTATGTCTTTGTGTATGTATAATCCATCCTTGATGTTATATATTTTACCAGAAAATAAAGTCATCAGTTTAACATGCTTTCTTAATTTAGAATACTTAAGTGTTGAATTGTCTCCATGGTATATTAAATCCTTTTAATAGCATTCTTTTTAGAGGTTGCAGAAAGATCTATGGTAGGAAACACCTTACTTAGCCAATCTCCATCTTTTGTTTCTCACTATTTTAAATATTTCAAGAAATATCTACAAGCTCTTTTAAACAAGATTCAGCCACAGTCCTTTCCTCTATTCCTTGTTCTCTAACACTTCCTCTAGTCACTTGGTCCAGGGTTCTGGCAAGCTCCTTGTTCTCTGGGAAATTTCACACATAGATGACAGCAAATTAATACATGTAGGCATTTTGTATCATATCCTCTGTCCTGCTGGGAGGTAGCCACTTGCTCCTCACAGCGAGGCTGTAACCTGGCATATGCTACTTCTCCCTTATCCCCTCACAGACCCAAGTTCCCCATGAAGACTCACCTGAAGGCTTCTAGTCCTTTATAGTGGCTGGATTGTATGTCACTGCTGGCCGACAGGAAGTCATTGAACATCAGACGTGCCAGGGATTTCTGGACCAACTTGCAGTAGGGGGTGTGAAAGATCATAAATTGGAAATCCTCCAGGGTGAAAGGCCGTTCAATGCCAGCTGGAAGAAGAGGTGTGGGAACAAGGATGTGGCATGCCAGACCAGTCATTTAGATCTCAGCCTCCCCAGGGTCTCAGCTGTGCCCAGGAGGCTCAGCCTCCCCAGGGACCTTGTCCCTGCATCCAGTCAACACACAGAAAGAGAAGCAGGCAAATTATCCACAAGCAGCCACCATCTCTGTGTAAGAAAAGTAGGAAAGTATGTAACCTCTTCTGAATATCTACTACTGCTAATCTCTGTGACTGATGCTTTCAAGTCGATCGAATTATTTGTTCTTAACTTAGCCTTGCATTGTATCATTCTCTCCATTTGGCAGAGGAGGAAGCAGGGTCTCCAAAAGAATAAGCTAGCAGTATATCCAAGGCCACCCAGCTTGGTGGCTGGTTCAGGTGTCACTTACTCTACACTGAAGACTGTATCATGCTGAGGATGACAAAGAGCAATGCTGCCCTTGGTCTTAAGAAAGGTTACAATTTAATGTAAGCATCTGCCAAATTCCATATAAGGAAACAAAGGGATAACATTAATATGCTTTAAAAATTCAGAGAAGACATTGACGAGTAGTGATTGGGAAGTTAATATCTTACAAGTGGCCATCTAAATAGCAACCATTACTCTCTCCCTGACTGGAGCAAGGGAAAATAAGGAAAATCAAAGATGTATGTAAACATTCATCTTTATCACCAAAAGACCTTGTGGTTCTCAACTCCCATGACCCTGAGGGCAGAAGAATTAGATGGTACCTGGTTACCACTACTGGTTGCTTTGAGAGGGTTCTGGGTAGATTGAGAGAAAAATGTAGTACAAAACTCAAAATCATAAAAATTTCTGGGCTTACTAGTTGGTCTGATGGAAACTGGTGGCATCTCTGAGATTATAGCCAGATATGTCTTGGAGAAAGAATAGCCAAAATGCTCCTTGGAGGCAAGGATGATTCAAATTCACCTCACACACTTTGGGCGTGTTGTTCTTGTTGTCGTCGGGTACCGTCAAGTCAGGACTGATTGATAGCTGACCCTCTAGTGGGTTTTCAAAGGCAATAAATTGCATGGTGGTTGATTGCCCAGGTAGAAATGTGAATTTGAACTGTGTGCCTTTGGGTTAATGTTATTAGGAGAGGCTATTCCTTGGAAAGGGACATCATGCTTGGACCATCCAGTAAACCTGGTAATTTTTGTGAGAGTTAGCAAAGGAGAAGATGATCTTCAACCAGATAGATTGACATGGTTAAGTATTTCAGAGATGATGAGGATGGTGCAGCATAGGACAGGATTTAGATCTGCTGTTCATAGCATTACGATGAGTTGTCCTTGACCCAATGACACCTAACAACAACAACAGCAGCACAAGGCACCTTTTAAACTTGGAACTGAACTCATTCCTGTGGCACAACTATTGATCGAACTATAGACACACATGTAAAGTAAACAATAACCTTGAGAAGGTACACAGTCCTTAAAACAATCAAGTAGTCAAGATTACAAGGGCAGCACAGAATTGAAGCTCAGAAGGTTGGAAGGGAGAAGATGGAGGGATGGATGGAAACAAAGACCACAGAGAGATAGTGGGAAAGTTTCCAGAACAGTTTATTGTTCCATTCAACTGTTTACATATAGGTTATTTTGTGACATTGAATATAACCCCCTTCAAGAGTAGTGGAAAGGGACAACAAGTGCCTCGTTATGCTACTGTACTCAAAAGCTCACTGCTGTCAAGTCAGAACCTGCTCATAGCTGACCCTCCAGCTCTAAGGCTATAAATTGCATGGGAGGAGATTACCTCTTTCTCTCTAGGAGCCTTTGGTGGATTAGAATTGTCAGAGAAGTGCCTTCTTTGGGCTAGCAGTGCAACTCCCTCCAGACTAGGTTACTAGAAAGCATCCATACAGGTGCAGTCAAAGCATCCGTACAGGGGCAGTCAAAGCATCCGTACAGGGGCAGTCAAAGCATCCATACAGGGGCAGTCAAAGCATCCGTACAGGGGCAGTTGCATTTCCAAATCCATGGCACATAACAAAAAGTTGGCTCAGTAGTAGAAGTTTTACCTCCCATGTGAGAGTCTCATATTTGATCAGTGAAGGTATCTGTGTTGCCATAAAACTGAACAGGTTTCTGCAGAACTTTCCAAATAAAAAAAACTAGGAGTAAAGGACTGGTGATATACTGGTAAAAACCTGTCAATGAAAACCTTGTAGCCCACACTAGTTTGTTCTACAGCCAATCATAGAGCTGGTACAAGAGCAGACAATGTTTCATTCTGTTGTGCATGGTCTTGCCTTGATTTGAGAACAAACCTCACACAACAGCTAACAACAAGGCATTCAAGGCATGCGTTTTCCCCCTACATCAACATCCACTTTTTACAGATACTCTAGAAGAATCCTTTTTTTAAAAAAAAAAAATGTTTTCAAAGTAAGTTTATATTTTAAAATAAGATTTGTAAACCACAGACTGGAAAAAAATTTGACAATGACAGCTGATAAGGGACTTAGATCTAAAATTTATAGAATACTCCAGTAATTCAACAAGGAAAAGGTAAACAGCCCAATTGCAAAATGAGCATAGGATCTGAGTAGATACTTCACCTAAGAAGATATTCAGACGGCAAACACTGGCAAGGTTGTTTAGAGATTGGAACACTTATTCATTGCTGGTGGGAATGTAAAATGGAACAACCACTCTGGAAGGCAGTCAAGCATTTTCTCAAAAATTTGGAAATAGAAATACCATTTGACCCAGCAATTCCTCAACTGGGAATATACCTTAAAGAAACCAGAGTTGCAACTCAAAAATATGTATGCACATCCATACATGTTTATTGCTGTAATAGTCACAATAGCAAAGAGATAGAAGTGACCCAAGCGCCCACAAACAAATGGATAGAAAAACTATGATATATTCACACAATGGAATATTACACAGCACTGAAAAACAATGAACTAATAAAACATTACACAACATGGGTGAGCCTAAAAGACATTATGCTGATCAAAATAGTTCAGTCACAAAAAGACACATACTGCATAACATCACTGTTATAAAATAGAACTGACAAGGGGGGGTTACAGGAGAAATAGAAAAACAGTGGATAGATTATGAACACTGCAATGGAACAGATGAGGGGAAGAACTATCTGAAAGGAATGTCTGATTAAGTATTATATGAATGACAACTATCAACAAGAGGTGCATTGCAAAATGGATTAGGAGGGGGGAAGGAAGAGGGAGGGGAAGAAAAGAAAATGTGCAACAATGAATGGATAAAAAGGAAAAAAAACACAAAATTGTTCCTTTTCTGAGTATGAACGGAAAAGATATATATTCAGAAAAATACAAAAATGGAAAGAAAATCAAGCAGCCCACTAACTCACCACCTGAAGAGAAATCGCAGATAGCACTTGAGTCAGTTCAAGTTAACCATATTTTGAGAGGTGCCTGACTTAAACAGAAGGAAGTCCCAGTCTGAAGAGGATGTGGTTACTCTGCCTCAAAGACGTTTCTCCCCAGGGTAATTTTGTGGTGGTGGACTTTGGCTCTAGATAGATTGGTTTGTGTTTTTTTTTTCCTTTCACGTAGTTCAAGTTGGCAGCAATTAGTCTTGCATTTGGATGCCTTTCAAATGGCTTTTAGCTTAGCAGGGAGAGAGGAGGATATAAGAAGATAACAAGAGCTGATGACAATGCTTTCAGGCTGGGAAAGAAGAGAAATTGATTTACTTTAGCCTTTTCTTATGACCCCTGATGGAGTTCTACTGACTTAATGATAAGGAGCTATTCTGACAATGCAAAGGCAGTGGTTTGAATCCTCTGGCTGCTTTGCAGAGGAAAGATGGGCAATCAACTCCCATGGGATTTACTGCCTCTGAAAACCCACTGGAAGGCCAGCTCTAAGTTGGTTCTGACTCTGTGGTACACAACAATAGCTTCTGCCTCCTGAGTCCATACCTTGTTTCCACTGGTTCTGGATTTTTCGGCGGTAAAATGTATAGCATTGATCCAAGGCCCTGAAGTAGCACTGGACGGACAGCTTCCCATCTACCATTGGATACTCTGAGGCCAGGTCTGGTTTGTAAAAGTCGTACACGTTTTCCATGTGGGTTCCCCTGAGCCCTGGGAAGGCACACAGGGGTTGCATAATTCAGTTCTCCGATGCCCAAACCCAAGCCCATTTATTCAACATCCCTCACATGTTCAAAATTGGATAAATAGTTGTTAGGTGCAATCCTATGAACAACAAACCCGAACCCTGACTTATCCATCCCCCATCTCTGATACATTTGAGCCCATTGTTGTAGTCACTATGTCAATCCACCTCATTAGGGAAGTCTTCAACATTTTCAATGACCCTTTACCTTTCCAAATATGCTATCTTCTTCCAAAGAATAGTACTTTCCTTATGTCCTCCCTATGACAGCTTACCAACTCTGGAACAAAGCCAAACATTTCAATGGAAAGCATCTCATTTTTATACCCAGTTTCATCTATAATTACCAGTTTAGCTCCTTAAGAGTGCTAGACAATCCCATCAACAAATGAATGGATAGAGAAGCTGTGGTATGTTCACACAATGGACTATAACACAGCATTGAAAAACAAGGAACTCATAAAATACTGTACCAAATAGGTGACCCTAGAGGACATTATGCTGAGTGAACTATCTCAGTCACAAAAGGACAAATATTGCATAATGCCACTGTTTTAAAACAGAACTGACATTGAGGACTGGGGGAAACTAAGAAAAGGGGGTAAATAATGAACAATGCATTGGAACAGATGAGGAAAAGAATTGTTTAAAAGGAATATATAATTAGGCATTATTTGCATGACAACAATCCAGAATAAGAGGTGCATAACAAAGTGGACTGGGGTGGGGAGGAGGGAGGAAATTGTGCAACGATGAATGAATTTTTTAAAAAGAGAATAGGATGGGGGTAGGGAGGAAAATGTTCAACAATAAATGGATAGAAATTCAGGTTTTCAGTAAACATTCATTAAAATATATATATATACACACACACATATACATATATATATATATCTCAATCATAGGGTCACTATAAGTCGCCTGCGACTCAACAGCACTTAACAACAATAACATCAACACAGGGAGAGAGATCAGCTGGCCTAGTGGACAGAAAGTGATGCTACCAAGCCAAAGGTGGGTGACTGTTAATCCACGGCCCTTGGGCCTGTCTTTCATTGTTTTTGTTCAGACATTCCTCTAGGTTGTATAGCCCTGGTGTACAAGTTGCTGTACAGCGGTAACTTATGGTTGCTGTGAGGCTGAACACTGTGACACTGATGTGTCAAATGCATTAATGGTTGGTCACCCAATTCAGACAGAGAGTGGGGTGGAGCTTCCCGATTAAAACAAGCTTGAAAGGAGGAGTGGCATCCAGTTCCATAATAGCTTGCCTCTGGAAACCTTATGAACCTGGAGAGAGGAAGAAAGGCACCCAAGCATCGAGGACTCTCCTTCATAGGGTTGCTGTGAGTCGACTGCGATGTGACGGCACCTAACAACAACAATGACAACTATATATCTATATCTAATCTATATCCATATCTATATCTATATCTTTATCATCTCTGTCTCTCTCTCTCTCTCTCTCTCTCTCTATGTCTCTCTACAGGAATAATTCCGAACTTTGTAATGATAGACAGGAAACCACTGATTCCCCTTTCTTCCCTTCCTTCATGCTTTCTTCTCTCCAGACTGCCTTTCAGAGGCAAGAGATGCCACTATCAAATGACAAGCTGAGTAGTAGAAAAGTTAATTGGAGATTAAAAATCAAACCAGTGGCTACTAAATTGATTCCAACTCCCAGTGACCCATGTGTATCAGAGTAGACATGAGCTCCATAGGGTTTTTTCAATGGCTGTTTTTGGAAGTAGATAGCCAGACCTTTCCTCTGAGGTACCCTAGTTGGAGGACCTAAGCCTGTTAATTATTTGCATCACCTATGCAACAACTAAACTCAGTACCAACAAGTCAATTCTAAATTACGGCAACCTCATGGGAGGAGAACTGCAGCACAGGGTTCCCAAGGCTGCCCTTGACAGAAGCAAACTGCCACATCTTTCTCTTGCATAATGGCAGCCCTGACTTTTCCATTAGCTAAATTAAGCTAAATGCTTAACTATGACACTGCTAGGGTTTTTTTGTGTCACTCAGGGGTGGTCTACTTAACAGCATCCAACAATAACAATGCTTGACTGTGCCACTGTGTGTGTGAAGTGTGTGCACGTGTGCATTTGTTACAGCTCTGTGAATCTATTAACAACCATTGGGTTGTACACTTTATGGCATGTGCCCACATTTAATACAAACCTCGCTCCAGGGCCAGAGGGGCCTCGGGCCCCACCAGCATTGCCACAGCTCCAGCCCCTCCCGTGGGGCGAGCGCTGCCACTTGCGTAGACTGCAATGTCTCCACAGACAACCATTGCGTAGCGACCTGTAAAGACAGACAAGAAGTCATGACCAAATCTACACTTGACTGAAAGCCTGCTGTGTGCCAGGCATGATTTTAGATGCTCAAGGTAAAGAAATGCACAAAAGCAAAGATCCCCGTGCTCTAGAGCTTATGTTCTAGTAAGAATTCTTAGAGCACACTTGAAAAGTAAAGTAAAATTTTATTGCCCTGTCACTCTAGCTCTATAGTGTTCATTATTAGCAGAGAAACCAAAATAACAACAAAAACAAACAGAAAAATGCCAAAACAACAATGTCAAATATATCATTGAAATTTTTTATGCTTTCTATTGGCAGGTTGAAATACTAAATCATGAATATATTGTTAGGTGCCATGGAGCTTTCAGACTCATGTAACTGAGTAGAGCTCCCCTTTAAGGTTTTCCGGACTGCAGTCTTTGTAAAAACAGATCATCAACCCTAGGCTTCCTTGGAACCTCTGACAGAATTTGAACTGACAGACTTTAAGTTAGCACCTGAGCATTTAAATCACTTGGCCATGAAGACTTTTGTGGATACATTGGACTTAATAAAACATGTTGTTAAGCCTAAAACTGATATGAGAAATAGGCTAGTAATTAAAAAAGCTCAACATGCTCTTTTTATATTTAAATAAATTTTTTGTTTTATACTAGTTTACTTACAAAGTTCCTATATGTTGTTTTTCACACTGGATCGCTCCCATTTCTTCTACCACCCCTCCCTCTACCTATCAAATTTTGCCATCCTATGATTAACCACACTCTTCCCCTGCCCATCCTCACCTTTCCCCCACACCTTGGTTCCTCATACACTCAACATGCTTTTTTATTGATAATTCTGAACAAAATTAAAAAAACTCATAGCTGTTAAGTCAGAACCAACTTGTGGCTGATCATCAAGTGGGTTTTCAGGTCTTTTGTTCACAGGGCGACTGTGAGTCATCATCAACTCGATGGCAATCAACAACAACAACAACAACAACAACAAATCATATGGGAGGAAACTGTCCCATCTTTCTCCTGCAGAGCAACTGGTGAATTTGAACTGCCTACCTTTGGGTCAGCAGTACAACTCCTTGTCCACTAGGTCACTAGAGCTCCCTATGCTGAACAATGTTCTGAACAAACAGATATAATCAGAACTTCTAAAGGCCATTTGATTTGTTTCGATTACCTTGTAAGTATTCTATGAGCTTTAAATTCCTTTAAAATCATAGAAAGTAAAGAAATAGAAATGAACATTAAAAGTGCTAGCTTGACGTTGTTGTTGCTATTGTGTGCCACCGAGACAGAAGCAACTCATAGCTGAGTCCACAGTGGGTTTTCAGAGACAGTAAATCACACAGGAGGAGCTTGCCTACCCTCCTAACAGAGCAGCTGGTGAATTTGAACTGTGTGCCTTTGTGATTGCAATGCAACTTCTTACCACTAGGCCATGAGAGCTCCCAACTTGACACTTCATGTTTTTAGGTACCATCAAGTCGAGTACAGACTCGTATCAACCCTATGAACAATAGATCTGAACACTGCCCTGTCCTAGGCCATCCTCATCATCACTGACATACTTGAGTCCATTGCTGCAGTCACTGTGTCAATTCATTTTGCCATTTTGCTGAAGGCTAACCTTCCACCTTTCCAAGAATGATGTCCCTCTCCAAGGAATAACCTCTCCTAGCAACAGGTCCAAAGCATGTAGATGAAGTTTTGTCATCTTTGCCTCCAAGGAGCATTCTGGCTTTCTCTAAGATGCATCTGTTTGTTTTCAGTCCAGGGATATTCAGTATTTTCTCCAACAATATAGCTAAAAGGCATCAATTTTTCTTTTGTCATCCTATTCGCTATACAGCTCTCAGAGGTATATAGCAAATGACTAAAAAGGCCATGGCCTGAATCAGACACACTTTATCTTCAAACTGACATCATTGTTCCTCCGTCAAATAATCCTTGAACAAACCCAATGAGATGAATAACATCCACAGTTACAGATGAAGACACTTTCTTCCAGAGAGATATTGGTGGTATTACTGAGGACATGTGGGGGAGTAGATTCCAGTATGTGACTCTGTCAGAGGGGTTGACATTAAAAGAACTGTCTCAAATTTTTTTAATACTAGTTTATTTGAATCACGGAATCAATCTACAACATTTGAATACATTGTTTTTGAGAATGGATTAGTCCAATTTCCCTCACCCCCTTACTCATCAAATTGTATAACTGCATGATTAAATCCTCCCATTTCCCCTGCACATCTTCATCCCTCTGCTTCCACCCTTCCGCATCCCCCTTGGGTCCTCATGCTCATTCTACAATAATGGTTTTACACAGTATTTGTCCTTGTGGGACTGAGTTATTTCACTGAATAAATTTTTGTGTATGGTGTGAGATGTGGATCCTGTATCAGCTTTTTAGAGGTGGCAGTCCAGTTTTGCAAGCACCATTTGTTGAAAAGGTTGTCATTTCCCCATTTGAGAGGTTTTATTTCCTTATTGAATATCAGTTGACCATAGACAGCTGAGTCCATTTCTGGATTCTCAATTCTGTTCCATTGGTCTGTGTGCCTGTCATTGTACCAGTACCATGATGTTTTTGTTACTACCACTGTGTAGTAGGTCAGGGAGTATAGAGATCAGAGAGTGCTGTGTTTTCCACTTCATTTTTGTTTTTCAGAAGTGCTTTGCTTATTCAGGGTCTCTTTCCTCTCCAAATAAATGTGACAATTTCCCTTTTGATGTCCTTGAAAAATGAATTTGGTATCTGGATTGAGATTGTGTTGAACAGGTGCATTGCTTTTAGAAGGATTGTCATTTTCATAATATTGAGTCTTCTTATCCATTAACAGGGCACATTTTCCCATTTCTTTAGGTCTTTTATTTTGTCTTGCAGAAATCTTCTGTAGTTTTCTTTGTACAGCTCTTTTGTATTTCTAGTTAGGTTCACTTCCAAGTATCTCAGTTTGTGGTTGCCTATTATAAGTGGCATTGCTTTCTTGGTTGCCTTCTCTAAGTTCTCTTTGTTACTGTAGAGAAATCCCACTAATTTTTGGATCTTATATCTTGCCACTGTAATAAAATGGTCTACTAGCTCTAACAGTTTTTTTGTTGAGTCCTTGAGATTTTCTGTGTACACTTTCATGTCATTTGCATATAGTGACAGTTTATTGATCTGGATGCCTTTTATCTCCTGCTCTTGTCATATTTCTCTAGCAAGCACTTTCAATACAATATTGAAAAGAAGTTGGTGACAGTGGGCATCCTTGTCTAGCTGCTGTTCACAAGGAAAATGCTTTTAGTCTATCTTCATTAAGAATTATATTGGCGCCTTTCTACGAAGATGGTGCTGAAAGCGAAGAAGGAAGCCTCTGCCCCTCTCAAAACTGAAGCCCAAACAAAGGCATTAAAGGCCTAGAAGGCAGTCCTGAAGGGCATCCACAGCCCAAAAAAAAAGATCTGCACTTCACCCACCTCCGGCGACCTAAGACACTGAGACTACGAAGACAGCCCAAATACCCCCAGAAAAGCTCCCCCAGGAGAAACAAGCTTGACCACTATACCATCATCAAATTTCCCCTGACCACTGAGTCAGCCATGAAGAAGATAACAACACACTTGTGTTCATTGTGGATGTCAAGGCCAAGAAGCACCAGATTAAACAAGCTGTAAAGAAGCTCTATGACACTGATGTGGCTAAGGTCAACACTTTGATTAGGCCTGATGGAGAGAAGAAGGCCTATGTTCGAATTGCTCCTGGTTATGATGCTTTGGATGTCGCCAAAAAAATTGGGATCATCTAAACTGAATCCAGTGGGCCAATTCTAAAGATAAATTTTTCTCACCCCCCCCCAAAAAAAAGAATGATATTGGGTCTTGGTTTTGCTTATACACTTTTCACTATGTTGAGAAAATTCCCTTCTATTCCAATTTTGCTGAGTGTCTTAATCAGAAAGGGGTGTGGGATTTTTTTAAAAGTATGGAACACTTCACAATTTGCATGTCATCCTTGCACAAGGGCCATGATAATCTCTGTATTGTTCCGGTTTAGTGTATGTGCTGCCAAAATGAGTACAGTTATATTCTCTTAAAAGACAAGGAAGCTGAGGCCTAAAAAACATAAGTCACTTGCCCAAGGTAACATGTATAATAAAGGGACAAATATGAAATCAGTGTCAGAATTCCAGTCTGAATTTGAGGATTTTTTTTTTAAGAACGATAACTCCCTTTCTATGAAGATGGCACTCTAAGTGAAGAAGACAGTCCCTAACCCTGCCAAAGCAAAAGTGTTAAAGGCCAAGACAGCAGTCCCTAAGGGCATCCAGAGGGGGGGAAAAAAGATCCACACATCTCCCACCTTCCGATGGTCTAAGACGCTGAGACTCCGAAGGCAGCCCAAATACCCCCGGAAGAGCGGCCCCAGGAAAAATAAGCTTGACCACTATCCATCATCAATTTCCTCTGACTACCGAGTCAGTAATGAAGAAGATAAAAGAGAACACAATTGTTTTCATTGTACATGTCAAGATCAATAAGCACCAAAGCAAACAAGTTGTAAAGAAACTCTACCACACTGATGTGGCCAAGGTTAACACCTTGATTAGACCTGATGGAAAGAAGGCAGCGTATGATTGACTTACTCCTGACTATGATGCTTTGGATGTTGCCAAGAAAATTGGAATCATCTGAACTGAATCCAGCGCCCTAATTTGCCTAATTCCAAATTTTTCTCACAAAAAATATAACCCCAAGAACACCATTACCCAAAGTATTTCTTCGCCCTTCATTCAAACACACACACACACACACACACACACACACACACACACACACTTAGAAGAGAAAAAAGTTCCTTAAAGGAGCTCTGGTGGCCTACTGGCAAGAAGCTGCTCTGCAATCCCAGTGGTATATGGTTCAAATCCACCAGATGCTCTGCTGGAAAAGGAGGGACAATCTCCTCCTGTACCAGTCAGTACACACACAAAGAATAAAATAAAAAAATTCCTTAAGAAAA